CAGTAGGCTTCTTCAGTCAAATACAGAAAAGTTGATAGGAGCAGAAGATACTTGAAGACGATGTAATCAGTCCATCACCCTTAAAGTTTTGAGGTGGTCAGTCCCTCAGTCTGGAGAAGAGCATTGTTCCATAGTATGAAACAATATGGAGATGAAGTGACAGAATGGAGCTTTTTATAGCGCCAAGAGGTGAGACGTAGGCCACTAGGAGAGGTAAGAACTCAGATGTTGAAAGGTCAGGTCCCTCTCAAATCCAGCCGCTCTCAGCTCCATTCTGTCACTTCATCTCCATATTGTTTCATACTATGGAACAATGCTCTTCTCCAGACTGAGGGACTGACCACCTCAAAACTTTAAGGGTGATGGACTGATTACATCGTCTTCAAGTATCTTCTGCTCCTATCAACTTTTCTGTATTTGACTGAAGAAGCCTACTGTGTAGGCGAAACGTTTCATAATAAAGATACCTAACTGTTGCATATGTGTCTTACCTAACAACCTGTCGGTATTTTATACCATTTTAATGTTCAATCTGTCAGACACTGCAACACAAGGGTATCTTGGTGCAGACCTGCAATCAACTTCGACAACTTCCACTAGTGAGAGCGGCTGGATTTGAGAGGGACCTGACCTTTCAACATCTGAGTTCTTACCTCTCCTAGTGGCCTACGTCTCACCTCTTGGCGCTATAAAAGCTCCATTCTGTCACTTCATCTCCATATTGTTTCATACTATGGAACAATGCTCTTCTCCAGACTGAGGGACTGACCACCTCAAAACTTTAAGGGTGATGGACTGATTACATCGTCTTCAAGTATCTTCTGCTCCTATCAACTTTTCTGTATTTGACTGAAGAAGCCTACTGTGTAGGCGAAACGTTTCATAAAGATACCTAACTGTTGCATATGTGTCTTACCTAACAACACCTGCAACACAACACTGCATCAATTTTACCAAAAAGAAATACCATCATAGGCAGTATGAGAAATATTTCTTGACTGTTATTGAATGAGCAATAAATTGTGAGGAAGAAAGAGGAAGAACAAGAAGAGGAAGAGAGGATTTAGAGAGGAGAAGGAAGAGGAGGAGGAGGAGGAGGAGAGGATTTAGATAAGAGAAGAGAGGAGGGGAGAGAATTTAGAAAAAAGGAAGGAAAAACAATGTAAGAAGAGAGAAAGAAATGATTAAAAGGGTAGGAGGAGAGAATTAAGGGAAGAGAAAGCGAGGATAGGATTAAGAGAGGAGGAAGAGAGAATTAAGAGAGAAGGGAATAAGAAAAGAAGAGAGAATTATGAGAGCAGGAGAAGAAAGATCAGATAAGAAGAAAATTGGTGGACTGAAAGAGGAAAAGAGAACTGAAAAAAAAGGAAGAGAGGATTGAAAGAGATGGAATAACGGAATAAATGAGAAGTGGAAGAGAAGAATTAAGAGGAAAAAGAAATCAGCGATGGACAATGAAAACAAAAAGTGGCTCAAAGTAAAGCAAAGGAAGAATCAAAGAGCAATAAAAGAGATCTGAAGCAACAGTCAAAAAAAAAAAAAAAATGACGAAGATGAAGAAGAGAATCGAAGATTAATAAAGAATAATAAAGAGTTTTACTTTGAAAGTTAAAAAAGAAGCAAAGATGTATATAGAGGATCATTTTAATAGCTAAAATGAAGAGGATTAAAGGAGAATAAAGAAACAGGCGATCCTAGAATTATCCTAGGGATCCTTTGAAGGTGGTTTAGGATTTCCTTTAGGTATTGTCAGGCTGGAGATCTTTAGAAGGTCTATAGTGATGAGGGTCCTTTAAAGTGGTAGTCATCAAGGTCCTTTAAAGTGGCAGTCATCAAGGTCCTTTAAAGTGGTAGTCATGAAGGTCCTTAAAAGTGGCAGTCATCAAGGTCTCTAAGAACAGATCTTTCCTTGCAATTCTGTCCAGTACCGAAGAAACAAGGGAAAGAACAAGATTTAACTGGACCAATGATTCTCACTCGTAGAGCTTTGAGCTGTGACTTGATAAAGCTCTATACTGAGCCTTTATCCCAATAAAAGCTCATTCTGTAACATTTTTTTTCTTCAGAAGCACATTGCTTCCATCCAGAGGAGTTACTACCCACACCAGAGAGAGCATTCCATTGCCTACATACACCACTAAATTTACACAGTAAAAAGTACATTCCTCTACCCGCCTGCAACCTCTTCCCACAGTTTGTATTTGTGGGGATGTGGGGAGGAAAGGGATGTAATTCTGGATCTTAGCGGATAAAATCAAAATTTCTTAGAAATGCTTGAAGACCTTCAAAAAAAAAAAAAGTGAAATTATCCATCTAAAACGGAATTTTAAGTCTCTTCAGTAGACATCGGATTTGGAAGTTAGATAATATAATTTATATTCAAAGTTATATGTACAGTAATTGCCTCTCCTTCCTGTAGAAAGCTATATATCATACTTGATGTTTTCAAAAATGCTGAACAGATTTAAAAGGCATCATTTAGGACGATCTTACTAGGTAAATTTTATACTACTGTGATTAATACTTCGAGTTTTAATTGACATTAGTTCAGTTACTCGCGAGCATATCAGTTATTTTCATAATGAAACAGTGATAGAATCAGGAGAGATGGGAAGTCTTAGTGAAGAGCAGGTTGGCAAGGAAGGTAAGCAGGAAAGCTGACTGGCTTACAGGAAGGCAGGCTCTGGCTGGCTGCAGGAAGGTAGGCAGGCTACCTATCTGATTGGCTTAAAGGATGACAGGCAGGTTAGCTGGCTGGATTACAGGAAGACAAGCAGGCTAGCTGGCTGGCTTACAGGAGGACAGGCAGGTTAGTTGGCTGGCTTAAAGGAGGACAGGCAGGTTAGCTGGCTGGCTTACAGGAGGACAGACAGGTTAGCTGGCTGGCTTACAGGAGGACAGGCACGTTAGTTGGCTGGCTTACAGGAGGACAGGCAGGTTAGTTGGCTGGCTTACAGGAGGACAGGCAGGTTAGCTGGCTGGCTTACAGGAGGACAGGCACGTTAGTTGGCTGGCTTACAGGAGGACAGACAGGTTAGTTTGGCTTGTTTATAGGAGGACAGGCAGGTTAGTTGGCTGGCTTACAGGAGGACAGGCAGGTTAGTTGGCTGGCTTACAGGAGGACAGGCAGGTTAGTTGGCTGGCTTACAGGACAGGCAGGTTAGTTGGCTGGCTTACAGGAGGACAGGCAGGTTAGCTGGCTGGCTTACAGGAGGACAGGCAGGTTAGCTGGCTGGCTTACAGGAGGACAGGCAGGTTAGCTGGCTGTCTTACAGGAGGACAGGCAGGTTAGTTGGCTGGCTTACAGGACAGGCAGGTTAGTTGGCTGGCTTACAGGAGGACAGGCAGGTTAGCTGACTGGCTTACAGGAGGACAGGCAGGTTAGTTGGCTGGCTTACAGGAGGACAGGTAGGTTAGTTGCCTGGCTTAAAGGAGGACAGGCAGGTTAGTTGGCTGGCTTACAGGAGGACAGGCAGGTTAGCTGGCTGGCTTACAGGAGGACAGGCAAGTTAGTTGGCTAGCTTACAGGAGGACAGGCAGGTTAGCTGGCTGGCTTACAGGAGGACAGACAGGTTAGCTGGCTGGCTTACAGGAGGACAGACACGTTAGTTGGCTGACTTACAGGAGGACAGGCACGTTAGTTGGCTGACTTACAGGACGACAGGGAGGTTAGTTGACTGGCTTACAGGACAGGCAGGTTAGCTGGCTGGCTTACAGGAGGACAGACAGGTTAGCTGGCTGGCTTACTGGAGGACAGGCAGTTTAGCTGGCTGGCTTACAGGAGGACAGGCAGGCTAGCTGGCTGGCTTACAGGAGGACAGGCAGGTTAGTTGGCTGGCTTACAGGAGGACAGGCAGGTTAGCTGACTGGCTTACAGGAGGACAGGCAGGTTAGTTGGCTGGCTTACAGGAGGACAGGCAGGTTAGCTGACTGGCTTACAGGAGGACAGGCAGGTTAGTTGGCTGGCTTACAGGAGGACAGGCAGGTTAGTCGGCTGGCTTACAGGAGGACAGGCAGGTTAGCTGGCTGGCTTACAGGAGGACAGGCAAGTTAGTTGGCTAGCTTACAGGAGGACAGGCAGGTTAGCTGGCTGGCTTACAGGAGGACAGGCAGGTTAGTTGCCTGGCTTACAGGAGGACAGGCAGGTTAGTTGGCTGGCTTACAGGAGGACAGGCAGGTTAGTTGGCTGGCTTACAGGAGGACAGGCAGGTTAGCTGGCCGGCTTACAGGAGGACAGGCAGGTTAGCTGGCCGGCTTACAGGAGGACAGGCAGGTTAGTTGGCTGGCTTACAGGAGGACAGGCAGGTTAGTTGGCTGGCTTACAGGAGGACAGGCAGGTTAGCTGGCCGGCTTACAGGAGGACAGGCAGGTTAGCTGGCCGGCTTACAGGAGGACAGGCAGGTTAGTTGGCTGGCTTACAGGAGGACAGGCAGGTTAGTTGGCTGGCTTACAGGAGGACAGGCAGGTTAGCTGGCCGGCTTGGGACAGGAGTAGGTACAGGCAGGGTTAGCTGGCCGGCTTACAGAAGGACAGGCAGGTTAGCTGGCCGGCTTACAGAAGGACAGACAGGTTAGTTGCCTGGCTTACAGGAAAGCAGGCTAGCTGGCAAGCTTGCTTTCGACAATGTGACAACAGCAGCTTTATACCAGCCTCCCGGCCACTGCATACAGACTTATGACAAAAACAATGAAAAAAGTTGGCAATGATGCCAGACTCATTCACATCCCGTTCAACAGCTAGAAGCCCATATCTCTCTCTCTCTCTCTCTCTCTCTCTCTCTCTCTCTCTCTCTCTCACACACACACACACACACACACACACACACACACACACACATTCTCATACACTCACACACTGATATACTCATACTCTCACACATTGATGCACTCTCTCATACACTCACACATACTCTTCCATATATACTCTCTGTCGCGCACACACACATTCTCACTCACTCTCACTCTCTCTCTTCGGACACACTTTAACGTTCATGTACTTACCATCTTCTGAGTGTCGTGTACTGGAGCGTCCATAGGCGTGGGCGAGTGTGGTGCTGGTGGAGGTGCATGGGTGGACGTGGGCGTGTGATGGTGGGGCGTGGGTGACTCCCTGTGCGAGTTACTAGACACACCCAGGCTTTGGGTAAGGTGCGAGAGCATAGTAGGCAGGTGCGAGGTCGTATCCATTGGCGTAGGCGCTGACGGAGGCGTGTTCGAGGCGGAGGCCACCGCCGCCGCCATGGCCGCAGCCGCTGCAAGGGCCTGCGCAGGAGGAGGCGTCGGGGGCGCGCTCTTTTTGAGGTCGTGGGCGTCGTGGGGAGGCACGGAGTGAGGATGACCTTCACCACCCACGCCCAGGGCACTTGCTGCTCCTCCTGGAAGTCCGCCGCCGCCGCCGCCACCGCCGCCGCCACCACCAGGTCCACCGCCACCCCACATCTTCTCCACCGTGCGGTAGAGCTGAGGAAGAAACGAAAAGAATGTTGAGATGACTACAACAAAGAATATACAAATGGGGCAACAAAGAATATACATTAAATGGAAGCACTTCCTTCAACAAAGAATATACAACGTTACGTGGGAGCACTTCCTTCACGGGGCAGTATGTTTCACCAGAGGTGTTGATAAAAATGAGTTGCAGAGCCGTGTTTGTCACAGAGCTCAGTTATAGCACAGTAGACCTATGTGCTCGGAGGTGCTAGCTGTACACACTTGCTACATATCTGAGGTGCTCGCTTAAAACACACACACTTACTACATCTCTGAAGTGCTCGTTTAAAACACACGAACGTAAGACATCTCTGAGGTGCTCGCTTAAAACACACGCACTTACTACATCTCTGAGGTGCTCGCTTAAAACCTACACACTTACTACATCTCTGAGGTTATTATTATTATTACAATCAAGGGGGAAGCGCTAAACCCGGAGGATTATACAGCGCCTGGGGGGGTATGTGGAAGGCATTCAGGCTTAATTTGGGGAACTGGAGCATAGATCCAATTCCCTAAATCAAGAGCCCCTCACCAACATCAAGGAACCTTCCTTGAGGGGTACATCTCTGAGGTGCTCGCTTAAAACACACACACTTGCCACATCTCTGAGGTGCTCGCTTAAAACACACACACTTACTATACACAAAAAACCCGCACATAAAAGACAGAAGCTTACGACGACGTTTCGGTCCGACTTGGACCATTGACAAAGTCACACTAACAGAGGAGGAGCAGGACGGCTATATATAGGCAGGAAGAGGTGGAGGTAGTAGTAGTGGTAGTAGTAGTGGTAGTAGTAGTAGTAGTAGTAGTACAAGAATTGTATATAATACCGACAGGATGAAATGACACATGCACAACACCCGGGCATCCCCACCGTAGACGTTTCGCCATCCAGCCAGCCACTGGATGGCGAAACGTCCACAACAAAGACAACCAGACGCCGCACTGGTTTTTGTGTATCGTTCCAGTCACGGTATTGTGCCTTTTTGTTATTCACACTTACTACATCTCTGAGGTGCTCGCTTAAAACCTACACACTTACTACATCTCTGAGGTGCTCGCTTAAAGCACATACATTTACCACACGAACGTAAGACATCTCTGAGGTGCTCGCTTAAAACACACGCACTTACTACATCTCTGAGGTGCTCGCTTAAAACCTACACAGTTACTACATCTCTGAGGTGCTCGCTTAAAACACATACATTTACCACATATCTGAGGTGCTCGCTTAAAACACACGAACGTAAGACATCTCTGAGGTGCTCGCTTAAAACACACACATTTGCCATATCTCTGAGGTGTTCTCATAAAATCCTTCTAGAACACTACACTAGTCATTTCCGTATAACCTAGGCTGTCTACCTAGCCAGGACACATTGAATATACCGCGAGAATTTACACAAAGATTTACCACAGGTTTCTTACGAGGAGAGACAATTTAGCTGACATTCTACTAAGAGTCTTTGTTTATATGTATCCAAAGAGATAAGCAAAGAGAATGTTAATAATTTCCATAGCCTACGCTTTACATACAAAGGCGCCCACAGAACGGAAAAAAAAGAGAGAAGACTGATAAACAGAGATGCCTGAAATACAGGAATGTTTCTAGTTTCTTTCAATAGTTACAATCATCTGGACGATCCACCGGAGAGAGAGAAAGAGAGAGAGAGAGAAGAGAGAGAGAGAGAGAGAGAGGGAAGGGAGGGAGAGAGAGAGGGAAGGAAGGGAGGGAGGGAGACAGACAGCGAGATGGATAGAAGGCGGCAGGAGCAAGAAGAGAGGTAAGCAGGAGCAGGAAAAGAGGTAGGCAGTTGCAAGAAGAGAGGTAAGCAGGAGCGGAGAGAGAGAGAGAAAGGTAGAAATAGTGGCTCCCGGCGGATATAGATGAGGTGTGAAGATTAAGCGTGGAGATAATTTCGACAGTGTGGGAGAGAGACAGAAACCTCTTGTTCTGTACTCCTTGGGTGGGCTGCCTGCCTCCTGTCTACCCCTTCTGTCGCTCCTCCTGCTTCTACATGATCCACGCCTGCTGCTGCATGATCCACACCTGCTGCTGCATGATCCATATCTGCTGTTGCATGATCCACACCTGCTGCTACATGATCCACGCCTGCTGCTCCATAATCCACACCTGCTGCTCCATGATCCACGCCTGCTGCTCCATGATCCACACCTGCTGCTACATGATCCACGCCTGCTGCTCCATGATCCACACCTGCTGCTGCATGATCCACACCTGCTGCTGCATGATCCACACCTGCTGCTGCATGATCCACACCTGCTGCTTGCTTCGTAATTCGTCGTCTGATTATTGATATAAATCTACACACACACACACACACACACACACAAACACACACACACACACACACACACACACACACACACACACGGGCGAGACTTAGCTAATGCCAACAGACGCCCCAACAAGAGTCAGAAGATAGCTCTTGTTCCCTCCTGAGCCGGAAAAATAGATACATGTGTGGTACTACTCAAACTTTCCTCTTGCCACTTTTTTTTTATACATTTCCCGATCGAGTGAAGAGAATTACATTCCAGTTTGTTGGATTGAAAGCCTTTATCGATAATATTAAATGGACTACGGCTCCAAATGGCTTATCAAAGACACACAAACACAGTCTCTTATGTAACGACGTTTCACCCTCTGTGGGGAGTTAACTAGCCTTGTAGACAAGTTGATAAATTGGACACATGTGAAACACTTGGGTATCTTTAATGAAGAAACGTTTCGCCACACAGTGGCTTCATCAGTCCATACAAAGGAGAGTGGTGAAGAACAGGAGGAGTTTGAGGTAATCAGTCCCTCAGCCTTGAGTCGATGTAATCAGTTTATCTTGAAAAGAATACAGTACATGTGCGACGAAGTGGCTTATATACTGTAGACAGGTGAGGTGCAGCAGTCGTAGGTGGTATCACACTTGACAGATCCAAATGTGGAAGTAGGTCATGCCTAAAGGTTAGGCATGAGAAGAATTCCCTGTATTAAGATCCCAAGATGTTGCTGTGTCTGACAGGAATGTAGATGAATGGTAACTAGTCTTGATTTAGAGATAACTAGCTTTGAACAAGAAGTAACTAACCTTGATTGAGAAGTAACTAACCTTGATAAAGGGGAGGCGAAACTTTATGGAAAAGATTTGTGTGTTTTTAATTCCCCAGTATTTAATTAACTGTTGTTTGGTTGGGAATTGTTTTTCTATGAATCCAGAATTTAATGTCATGTGTTGACTGGACATACTTGCCTGGTCTGGGACCGAGGCGCGGGGGCGCTGATCCCCAAAACCATCTTCACGGAAACTCTAAGTAAACTACTGCAGGTAAACCTCAGTTTAGCTTCTTGAGGTAAACTTCATTAGGGAGAGCTATTTCAGGTAAACTACTTCAGGTAAACCACTTCAGGTAAACTACTGGTAAACTATTTCTGGTAAACCTGATAATCATTGTCTTGCAAAATAATTCATATCTTCAAAACGAGGTATTCATCTGGGCTACTATTTGTGAACGGTGGATCGAGTCTGCATCCTTCCCTGCGCTGAACGATCTACGTGCATTAAGTAAGCACTTTAAATTAATACAAATATATGGCCAGTATCTAACTTGTAAATTTCGGTGGAAAAATAATCTACGTGATTTTTTTCTAACCACACTGGCCGTCTCCACCTTCCGAACCGATGCTGAAAAAAGAGTTCTTGTTCCAAGGAACTGGGGCTGCCCTTCCTTTCCTTTGAGTTCGACCTGGCTGCCTCCCACTGCCTAGGCTCTGTATGACCCTTACGGGTTTAACGCTGCCTTGTGGCTGAGAAATCCACGCTTCCAACTTTACCAGTGAGAATGATGTACATAGCCTATCTAAGAGCCTTATCTGACTATGGGATTTATGTCTGCTGAAGAAAAATCTCTCAGGCCTTTGGAAATGATGCAAAACGACGCCCTCAGAATTATTCTTGGCTAACTTAAAACTACCCGGGTTCTTAATATGAGGAAAGAGCTTTGGGTTCTTAATATCAGTGACAATAACCTTCATTTCTTAACATTCTATTACTGGCTAATAGAATGTTAAGAAATGAACTATACACTGTCATAATAAATCTTACTGAATGTCTAAAGTGAACAAATCTAAATGGACTGTGAAATCACAACTCCTTTAACCTGTGTGAATGGCATCTCTAGAGACAAGATCATTTCACCCCTCCAAGGAAGTTACATTCATTTAATGTCACATATCTTAAGTCCCTCCCAAGAATCTCATCACCAGTATATTATATTAATTACGAAGGTACCTGGTCAAGAAGAAATTCCTCGTGTAACTGTTAGTGCAAATATATTGCAAAACAACAGTCTACTGACTGGGCTGCTTTTGTTTCTGTTGCTACTTCCCTAAGTATTATACCATGTGAATTAACAACTAGGCTTCTACATTTCAAACTCGATTGTTTTTCCCATCTTAATAACACTAAAGTTATCTTACGACGATGAGTTAAACTCATTGTTCATTTCTGATTTGATGTTGTCATTGTACTTAACTCATATAATGACTAATATGTTCATTGGAAAGCCCAGTGCAGATTTTTTAAAAATGTGAAAGGAGTTAGTGACCCACTGTGTTGCTTTACATATGATCAAGATGATAAACTGGCTGAAGGAAAATACCTCGAAGGATGAAGTTGGTCACTCCGTGTATCTAGCACTTAAAATATTTGGAGAAAAGCAAATAGTGAATCAAAGTGGTAGGAATGCTATTGGAAGCCTGAGTATTGGTGTAACTCACTATGATAACACGAATGTAAATAAGCACATTTATGGAGCAACTTACAACGTAAGTACACGAATGACTCGCACATAGGAGAAAGAAGCTTATGACGACGTTTTGGTTAGATTTGTTAATGGTCCATATCAGACAGAAACGTCGTCAATAAGGTTGATGGACTGATTACATCTTT